TTAGTTGAAATACAAGATGATATTGATAGTGAATTTATATGAAGCAGGTGCCTTTCTGTTCTAGCTTTTTTTGCATGGTAGGAGAAGCTTAGAGGAAAAATAAAATGGCATTACTTTTACTTTTATCTCTGCCAATACGAATATGATCATTACTTAAAAGCCACCAGCTAATTCATGTGTTCAGTGCAATACCTGCCGCTTTGTGAATGAGAATGATGGGAGGAGTTAGATCAGTTTAAAGAGAAACAATTGTCTTGAGATTCTATTAATTTCACTTCATAATTTATTACTACTTGCAGCTGCATGTGATTGGAACTCAGGGTCATGGGGAGAGGGTAAGAATAAACGCAATGAGATCCTCCCTTTTAGCAAAACTGCCGAAAATACTTGTATCCAATCAGCTGACATACTTTTTTGAGGCCAACAATACAAGAAGCTTTAGTGTATATAGTTGCTGCTTAGCTTGTTCTGTGTACGGATCGCTAAAATCATTCACAGTTGCTGCAACTGATGGCTGTGATTCCATAACTAATGTTCTTTTTGTATTTTCTTCTTGTATATTCTTCATTATACATTCCTTTAATTAAACTCTATGTATTTAACAGTAGGTTTCCTTTACTGCCATTTTTTATACACCTTTGTCATCACTTTTATGTCTCACTTGAACTAGACGTAATGGAGAAAAAGACACAAAAGTTTGTGTTTTCATTTTTTTATCTGCATTGAAATCCCATTAAAAAGGCACTTTCATCTTGCTCTGTCTAAATGTATCTGACTTTTTCATCTTGGTATCATTTATTTGTGTGACACCAGATATTTTATGTAATTTAGGGTAATTTTGTTATATATATATATGTTAGATTAAAAGGGATGGGAGTATGATAAAAATAATTGAGAAGACATTAGTTACAGCCTTTGTATGGTGTGGTCCCAATTTATTTAGAAAAATAGTTCTATGTCCCATAGATAATTGTATTCCAAACTAATGTACCCTTCTTGATGTTTGTAATAACACATATATAAAGTCTGCTAACTATAATGGAAAAGCCTCATCACCGTCTCTTGGCAAGAATAAAAGGATAAGATTAAGGATAGATCATAAATAAATGACGAAAATGTTTGGAAGTTTCTTGTAACTGGATTGCCAAACTTGTCTGAAGGACCTGTAGTTTGGATTCGTGGTATTTTGTTGATCAAGTTGTTTTAGCTTATGTGTGAGGGAGTGAGTGTGTGAAACAGGTTTTTGTATTTATATGGATATTTTTCATAGAATTATTATTTTTTGTTTGATTTACACATTTTGCTGTTGAGGGGATCCCCGTTATTTGTTAATATGTACCAGAGAAATACTATGAATAGCGATACCCAGTATCCCAATACAGAACATTGTAAAGCAGTGTAGTCTGGACCAGGACCATATATATATGTATGTATGTATGTGAAAGATATGAATTATTGATTAATTGAATGATTGGTTGATTTGTACTGCTATTTTATTTATTCTTGTGGAGAGATTCAACTCGTGAGAATATAACTGAAACTAATTGTTGTGAACTTGTGTTTTCCAGATACATTAGATGAGGATTCCATAAGTGAACTCTCATCCATGCGTGACTCCAACATATTGGACTCCCAGCCGGAAACCAATACTACCCCCGCCTCCGTTGTTAATAACCAAAGCATAACCAGCAACAATACCGCAGTTGTAAATCTAACCTCCTCCATAAATGTCGGCACCTGCAGTGCACTTAGTAATCATGTAGCAAATATTAGTATTGCCAATAGTTTGATGTCCAACAGTGATAGTAATGTCTTACACGATGAGAGAGATGGGAGAGAAAGTAGTTGCGATGTTAGTGAATCCAATAACCCATCCCCACGACCTTTGGAAACCACAGTGGTGCCATCGTCAGTCCCTGCCACCAGTTGTGGGGCTACACAGACTAGTGGGGGAGGCAAAAATGCAGGCAATAGTGCCACCCAGTCAGGTTACACGTGTGGTGGGGCAGTGGGGGGCTCGGGTAGTAATAACTGCGACGGGGGAAATAATAACGGCGGCGGTAATAACAACGGGAACACCAACGGCAATGCTAACAGTGTGGGGAACCAGGCAGGTAATAATAACCCAGGACCTGCAGATAATAGTGTGAATTACGACTCGAGTAATGATCGGCTAAGGTTCCACGACAAGTGTGGAACCCTCGTTAAGTTGTCCAACAGTGGGAGAACAGCAGAGAGAAGACGACCACTCGATGAATTCAACAATGGAGTTGTAATGAGCTGTAGAGCACTAAGAGAAAATGAATTATTTGAGGTGAGTTTTGTTATTGCATACTGTAGCCATTGCTTTCCAATGTGATCATTCCTTAAGCTTAGATGTTTTGTATTTTGTTTTTTTAGTACGCATAGGCATGTCAAGGTAAGATAAGGTTGGGCGGGGGGGGGGGGGGGATATGTAGATAGATAGATAGATATAGACAGATATATTTAATTTTTCCTGATAGGATAAGGTAGGGAGGGGAGGGAATTTTGGTCAGGTTTATTAAGAGGTCAAATACCTGTTTATGCATAAAGCCAAATGTTAAACAGAAAATGGAAATGAGGTTTGTTTAATCAAGTGAAAATTGATTTAGTAGGTAATTTTTTTTTATCGTCTTTGTCAGTACTGGTTTCTTTAGATACATTATTTCAGTCAAAGAAGAGACTTTTGATTAATTGTATTTCATATGATGTGCAGACCTTGTTTGAAGATTTATAAAAAAAAAAATCACCTGAATTTCCAGGGTCGGACTCCAGAATTACGGTCAGTCAGGTTTCAGGAGCCTCGTCATTCAGTTTTCTTAGCCAGGTGGATATTACCAGTATACAACTGTTATCATCGTTCTTATCTGTTAGTGTTAGTTTTTGTAGTATTGGTTTTGTCATTATTATTATTATTATTATTATTATTTATTACTATTTATTATTATTATTATTATTATTATTATTATTATGGTTAACCTCCAGTAAGGCAGGTGGTTTTGTTTGCAGCAGTATGAATTAGTTTGCCCTTATGTAGGGTGGTTATGAATGTAATGTTAGGAAATATTATGATTTAGATGCCTATGGATCAGGGACCAGTTGGTTAAAGTTCGGTAAATGAACCAGTTTGGCTCCGAGATTAAATTATAGCTTTTTTAATGAGTGCAAATATTGATTTCCATTATCTTGTATGGTGATATTTTTGTTTTTGTTTTTTTTTTTCTCCATTCATAACAATTCATTAGAACAACAGTATTAGCAAGAGTAGTTACAAGTTACATTGATGTTAATCCACTGTGAATTTGCAAATGTTTTCAATTTCTCGTACTTACAATTTTTATCTTGCCATTTCCCAGATACGAATTGATCGTCTAGTGGACAAGTGGTCAGGCAGCATTGAGGTAGGGATTACAACGCACAATCCCAGTGTCCTAGACTTTCCGGCCACAATGACAAATATGCGCTCAGGGACTACAATGATGAGTGGTACCGGCATACTTACCAATGGCAAAGGAACACATAGAGAATACGGGGAATTCAACCTTGACGAGTTAAAGGTCGGTGACTCTCGGTGGCTGTATGTATTTTGTCGTTTTGAATATCAAGTCCAATGTGATTTGTGGAAGAGGCAGGTGTAAAAGTTTCATGGATTTTGTAAATGTTGTAGTGATAACAAAGGGTGTATGTTTGAAGTAATCTATTTCTTCTTTATGATGAATGGTGTAATTCTAGATGAGATTCTGCCTTTGATGTGAATAGAGTAAAGAGGATTGTACTTGTGATAAATAATTTAAATTCTTTAAGTAGAATCAACATTTTTTTCCCAAACAAATCAGCAAAGATTATGATATTCATCGGGAGTAATCAGAGCTTTTTTTTTTTTTTTTTTTTTTTTTTTTTTTCTTTTTCTTTATTTTCTTTATTTTCTATTTTTCCTTTTCATAGGAGGGTGATCGGATTGGCATGATGCTAAAAACCGGCGGAGAACTTCACTACTATATCAATGGCCTGGACCAGGGAGTCGCAGCTACCAATGTACCGCCTCCCGTGTGGTCTGTTGTTGATCTTTATGGCATGACAGTGAAAGTAAGTGCTGCAGTCTGACAGTTTCAAGGAAGTTATTGCAACTTGATTTTGTTGCTTTCCATCAAGTTATATTCAACAGAATTAACATAGAATTTGTGTCACCATGACGAGAAAGATTGGAAAGGTTGATGTCATATGATAAAACCGGTGATTGCATAGAATTTATGATTTTTGAGTATTGGAATCCTAAAGTTGATTCACGTGTTTTAGTTTTTTCATGCTTCAGGAATATTTTTCATTAGGTTTGGCTACTCTATGGTTTAGATTATTTCAAGAATATCTTTTAATGTTATACTAAATAGTAGTTTTTGAGTTTTTGATAAGGTAAATCCAGTGTGAACTCCTTTTAGCTGTTTTAGGTTAGTGACAATAGATCAGTTTTATATATATGAAGGTGTATCATGATGACTAAGTATTGTTGTACGTTTAACAAGGAGTATGTAATCTCTTAAAATCTACATAGTGTCTGCTGTATTTTAAAGTTCTGATGTTTTGTAAGAATAACTGGAGTATTTACATTTAACTTGAACTGTTGAAATGTATAGAGAAATATTTGTTCAAAAGTCCCAAGGAACATTTTATTCCAATCCAACCTGCCTAAGAACCAGCCCAGAGTATCTTTGTACCAAATCTTGTTATTCCCATCTTAGTCTACCTTTCCAGAGAAGTAGAGAGTCACCAGTACTAATCCAGATTTGAATCTATATCCCATCTTTAACAGCCCATCAGCACCTCACAGATGCCAGTGAGCAAACTTGAATATTTGAAGAATGTTGAACTTTAGACCATGTAGGGATCTCGAGATATATATGGAGGGAAGGAAGTGTGTATAGTTTTTGGGGAGGAATAATAGAGGTGTTAGTGATTATATTCTGTTAGGTGAAGTTCATATTTTTGCTCAGATGTAACCTGAAATGGAATATATAAAGAGCAGGATGTAGCTAAATGGAAGATAGGGAAAAGGGAATCAGATTTTATTGTATTGAGGAAATCATTTCATATTGCAAATTTCCCACACAGGTAACAATAGTGGACCGGGACCAGCGAGAAGAACAGAACTTAATCACTCGAAGAAACACTCAGTTGTCTGATATCCAGCCACCTTTGTCCGATACAGGTAGGTCGTGTCTTGGGTTTGTTTGATGTGAATTTAGGGTTAGAATAGCAGCTAAATTTTTCTTTTTGCTGTTTTGTGTAGTGCAAGAAGTTCATTTAATGAATGCTTAGAAAATGATAAAAAATTTATTCTCTATGGCCTCTGTTATTAAAGTGTATACAAACAGCTGTCTAGAAATTACAATTACAAGTGTTAGTCGTATTTTTTTTTCTTTCTTTTTTCCTTTATGGACTGCTAATAGCAAGCTCTTTATTGATCTATGATGCAACAAGTTACATGTTGGTAATTATTGTGTGTGACATTTTATATCTGAAGAAAGAAGTTCTTTTCTGAAAAGTATTTTTTGTAATAATTCTTCATTGAAATTTTTTTTTACTGGGATTTTTGAAGGATTTGACAATTTGGGAACAAAATTTACCAGATGAAGGCTTTTAGAAGGGTGATATTACTTTGAGAGAACTTCTATGTCATTGGTAGCTTTTGTAAAGTTATCAGTATTTGTTATAGGTTCTGATTATGAAATGCCTTCTTTAATGGCAACTGGAAATTCATCTTGAAGTAATTAGGTGTTTTAGTAATGTTGTTTCATTCCTGTAATAGGCAAGGTTCCTCGAAAGCCAAAAGGTACTGTAAAAGTTTATACATTTCACCTGTAAACTTTCCTTACATATGATTTGGTATATGTTGTGGTGGATAACTAAACCATTTTCAGTCTGAAAATATTGTTGACATCATACCTTTAGGTAATGTGTACACATTTTTTAATGGTATACATTGCTTTACCATTTGTTTAGATAGAAAGGAATGCCTACGTGTGCCAGAATTGACCTGGTGTCAGTGTTGGTATTAGTTTGGTATTTCTAAATGTATTTGAATACTGGAATGATTGCTGATGATTAATGTTTTTATTTTTTTAAGTTCTTTTACCTGTATATATTTCTATGGAAATGCTACATAGATGAAGTTCCATGATTCACTGATTAATAAGATTCTGTGCTCTGACGACAAATGAAACTATGAGTACCAATAAGATTCTGTGCTCTGACAACAGGCATTTATTTGTGATTCTTTGGTTTCAAAGAAGTTGTTGCATTGTGATTTTTTATGTTAGTAGTTGTCATGTTAAGCAGTATTTTTTGCAAGCCTATTGCAGATTTTAATCCATATATATGATTAATAAAGGAGATATTGCAAGATGTCGAAGCTGAAAGGCAGCGTAAATACAGTGCCATATTTGCATAAGTGATGTAGTTTCAAAGAAAGTACCAATGACTATGATTTAGATTTTTTCAAATACAGTAATGTGATAGAGCATAGTACGTATTAGAGCTATACTTAAAAATGTGTTGTATTAGATTATTTACTATTAATTATGTTGCATGCTGGCAAGGAAATGTACAAAACGGATAAATTGTTCCCACAAGCAATATAGATATGTGCCTTAGGAGTGAATATCTCCTGGGGCTACCACAAAGCAGCTTTAAAATTGTGTTGATAGATAATTTATGGGTGCTCTTTTCATATTATTTTTGGTCAAAGAGGCCTAGTCAAAAGGCTGTAGTAAGCAGAAACTATAGTCTAATTGGAAATATCAACTAAGTTGACTCAGGCAACCATAATAGTTTTACAGTGGATCTAAAAGCCAGGGAAGACAGAAATATAAGAAAGAATCTCCCTAGCCAGCGACACTTCAAGTATTTACCAGGCACAGAGATAAACTAAAGAACTACATCCAGTAAAAGTGCAGAGCAGTGACCGCTGGGTATCACAAATCAAAGGAGCGGCCACCCTAGGCAAGCTCATCTGAAAAAGCGTACAAAGACACCATGACTCAGACATGTAGTTTTCCTAGTGTAGACCATTAAACATGTCACTGTTAAACAATGGGATAAGGCTGTCTCTTTCCGCACTGTCAGAGGGGACACGATGAGCAAGATAGGATAGCACATGGAAATACCAAGAATGCTGTGATAATGGTAAAAGTCTTCTGGCAAAAAACCTTTAGCAGTTGAGGATGCTGTAATGGTAGTGACAGAGCTACTCAGGTCTTGCCAAGAAATGGAGAAATAAACAGATAATGAAGACATTAAATAGACTGTCATAGTGGCAAACCCTGTGGAAGCTTCTAAGCAGCATTTGGCGGATTGATATAAGCAGGTATTGCCCATCACTGAACCCTCATGTTGAGTATGGAGAGAGAATTTTAGTCCATAACTGGGGCACCTGCTAACAAAAGTAGGGCTCACTAATTTCACAAACACTCAGAAGGAAACAACATTGGTAGGAGGGGGGACAAAGTCAGAAACACATACTCAGGGTAAAGTCGTTAAAGATGCAGTACATGTTTACACTCCCAAAACAGAAGAGAGTTATGATCTGCGAGAAGCTTTTTTGTAACTTGAGTGTGTTTTAACTACTATTGATGCACCGGCAACTCAGTTGATATTTTTTTTATTAGACTTCCTGATGGCTAGACCGTACATAACCAGAAAATTTATCATATTAAAGGTTTCTTTTCCTTTTTAAAGTTAAGTTCAAGAAATTAAATACTTATTTTTGGAATTGAAATTCATAGATAGATTCTTTTACTTGCCTGAAATTCATTCTTCATACCTTTTTTTTATTAAATCATAATTATAGTAAGTGGTCTTACATGTTCTTATTTTGTTCTAGCCTTCATGTTTGTAGATAATGTTCAATTTATCGTAAAAGCAAACGATTACCTTCTTTTAAACTTAGTTAAAGAACCGCACTCTGTTGACCATATAGCAACAAAACAAAAGTATGGTAACCACACCTTACTGATCTTTTGTTTTTATTTTTTTACATTGATAATATGTGCTGTTTAAGTTATCCCTAATATATAGCCTGATATATGACAAGGCTTTTTTTTTTTTTTTTTTTTTTTTTTTTTTTTTTTTTTTTTTTTTTTTGTAGAGATATTTAGAACATTTACAGTGATACAGTGATATTCACTTGTAGTGTATATGTATGAGTGTTTAAGAGTATATAGCTAACCATGTTGGTGGTGAACGATAAGCATAAATTACCATCATTGTCGTTAGACATCCGTTCTTCACATCCATCATCTCTTTAGTTATATATCTAATGCTGACTGTGATAACTCTTCTGTCTGCAAGCATAGGTGGTAAATGACGGAGATTTTGGATATAGTTCTTATGTTCTGAAGGACAATAGTAAAGGGTGTCTGCAAGTATAGGTGGTAAATGGATATAGTTCTTATATTCTGAAGGACATTAATAAAGGATTTAAGACAGAGTTTCTTGAAAGAGACGGATTCTGTGAACACAAGATGAACAAGAATAGGGTTCATAAAATTCACACAGAAGTGAGATAGACCTTCTTCATTAATGGACCTTTAGCATTCTCACATGCAGGAATTAAGGCTTGAAACACTGGTAATGTTTAAGCAGGATTCCCTATATTAGGAATGAAATATGAGAGGTGATCATTATTGTTGATATAACTTTGGGATTAGACAGACTGTCAGAATTTCATCCTTTTCACTTACAGTACTCCTCTTTGTTCACAGTATGTTTTATTTTGCAAATGGTTATTTTTGTGTTAAATATGATTGTGGGTACTATATCTTTAATAGTTTTTCATATGAATTTCTTGGTTCAAGGTAAATTGTGTTTTTTATGTTTTTTTATGCCTATTTCTTCAGGTTAGTAATGCTATTTCACTTTTGTTTTAGCTATAGGTCATGGTCTTGGAAAACCAAAAGGTATGATTATGGTTATTATTCTCCCCTCATAAGTGTGTATCATTATGTGTAAGACAATATTCTATTCTGTATTGATCATTTATTACCAAGAATGTTTGATATTTCCAAGTAGATAGTATACCTGTATATTAGCATTTCCGCATAGTCTTTATTGCTCTTTGATAATGCAGGTCTTCAGTGCAGGTAATACCTCTGTGAGAATTGAAGGAAATGCTGTATATAGGATTCTTTTGGAATTCCAGCATGCAGTGTTTTTCCTATAACCCTTTTTTCGTAAAATAGTTAAGTAAGGTGTTCACTCTGAAAAATAACAAGTAACTGGTCATAGAATTTGAGTTCCTGTCAAATGAATCGTCACAACTCTCCTACATTATTATTATTATTATTATTTCATCATGCATCACTTTTACTTACTTGATTGTAGACAACAGGTAGCATCACAGAATAACAGTAGTACTATGATGGCCAAGTAAGCCGTCAGCATCTTGATTTAACTGCAGTTTTACTTTTCGAATTTGCATCATGACGGAATACCATGTTCCTAATCTTGATAAGAGCTTAAGGAGAGAGATAGTTTGAATGAAGGAGATAGAGATTAACACAGGCCCTTCTTAAGGTGTAAATGAATAAGCATTGTTAAAAACCCTTGTTCTAATTTGCATGAATGGATTTTTAAAAATTGGCTCGTTTTTATATAGGGATTGCAGGTAATTTTAACTTTGTCAAACAAATATTATTACATTTTCATGATTTTTTTTTTATAGGTTTCTTCTTGTAGAAACTGAGGTAGCATTTTTTCATCAAATCCAATGCTGCCGGGAAAATGTAGCGTTCACTGTGGTTTCAGGAAATGTCTCTACACATAGATGGCTCCACAAGTGCTCAGCAACTAGGGGTCAATTAGTAGACCTCTTTACCTCACTTGATTTCCCCTTTTCATGATTTTTTTAAAAAGTAATGCTATTATTAATATTGTGGACATTTATGATTGTTTATGATGCTATTGACATTGCTAATAGTAATATGAGATAAAAGAAAATATTTTTGAAAATTAAGGAAAAGTGTAAATAGGTGAGATTGGTAGTATTTTTAATTGACTTGGTGTGACTAAGTATTTGTGGAGCCATCTATGTGTAAAGGACATTAAACTAAACTCATGAAATATACAGGCATACCATCCCTGGCAGCATTGGGTTAAGAGTCAGTAGTGTTCCTTCAATTAAATTCATGATCTATTCGGTGAATGATAGTTTGTAACACATTTTGATATTAACGATTATTCCTTGTGTAACCAAAAGGAATTCAGAGACTAATTCAGTGAGGGGAAAAAATAGAAAGCCATCAAATGGTGAGAGATTGTGTTTTATGGTACGTGAAAAGTTTCTAATAAAAGCAGCTTCAAATGTAACTAGATGAATTTATTGGTAATTGCATTATTAGATATGTGTAGATTGTACGTTTGAAATGTTAGACGGAGTATTATTTTGTTTCTTGCGTACAAAGTGGTAATATTGATGATCAGTTGATGTTTACCCTAATAACTATGTTGTTTGTTACATTATCCTCTTTAACGTTATCAGAAGTTCCCGTGTAGTCTTTGAAGGACTTGCCATTAAATGTTGTTGTTTTGTCCATTTGTTGTTATAGTGATATGTACTGTCATCCATCATTATGGAAGTAAAGATTTGTCACATATCACACCAGCACATTTTCCCCCTGCTCTGAACAGCCAATCTCCATGCTTAGGCGATTGCAAGCTGTGTCCCTAGCGCATGTCTAGTACATGTCCAGCTCACATAAGAAATGTAAATGATAATAGACAGCCAGTATTGGAGCAGATTGCTCTTTTCCAAGGAAAATGTTTATATTCAAAACAGCAGCTACAAGCAAGCAAGCAAACAAAAATGATAAGATAAATAAGAATAAGTAAATGAAAGCCTTGTTTTTTATTTTTGCTTTCATTATTGGCAGTGAAAACATCAAAGGAGGAAAAAAAAATTGTCACTCATGCATTGCTGTATCACAAATTACAAGTTTTTCTTGCAAGTGAAATCCCGATCAGCCTACTACAACAATGGATCATGGCAATACTGCCGACCTCCAGCCAAAAATGTGCTAGTGTGATTTAGCCATGATACGGTTGTATGTTACCCCTTAGCTGCTATTGATCCTTAGTCAATCAACAGACAAATGATTTAGAATAGTCACTCAATAATCATGTGCCCAGATTGGTGTTTGTCATGCTTAAATACAGCCAAATAACCAGTATATGACTGCATTGAATGTCATGAAATATACTACAAAGAAAGACGAGAATTATAAAGTTATGAGTGATATCTGACTTGTGTAGATCTGTTATTGTATAAATCCTGAAATATATATTGGAGCTCAAAAGTTGGACACTTGGTTGTTTATTTGTCTGAAGAGGAAGAAAAACTGTGAATGTATGTGGATGCAGATGCAGACTTCTTTGTTTACTTATTATTATTTTGACAGAAGAGACATTTATATTAGTATGATTAAAGACAAAGAAGTTAGAAACAGACTACAAATAATCCAGAGTGGAATTTTATTGTGCCACAGATGATGTCAGTCCAGTAACTCCATTTTATTCTTATTTTAGTCGTAGTTCGTGGTCTTGGAAAGCCAAAAGGTACAGTAAAGGTTCTCATTTTTTGCCCCATAAGTCCTGTCTTTCATGTTATTGGGTTTTTATGTTGTGATTGTGAGACTTGTATGTTGTACCAATTCTGAATAGATAACCACATGGTGCTGACAATTTGCAGTACTTGTAGATAGTAAATATATTAAATATTCATTTATTCATTATAATTTTTATTTTCAACTTTACTGTGTTCGTAGTTAGAATGGATTATGAAATTAAACTTGATCGTCTTAATAACTTATGTGGTGGAGTCACGGCATTTGACTTTGTTTATTGCATCACAATCCTGGCATGTGGTATGCACTCATAATTTCAACTAGTAAGGTTCATTTATATAGATGATGAATGCTATATTCATATGAAATATGTGATAATTTTTTGATGAATAGAGCTTTATATAGGAAATGATATCCAGTAACCCGTATTTGATATTATAAAGGTCTAATCTATGCTAATTTTGTAATTTGTAAACAAGTTTTTCATATACTTGATTTTGACCTAGTTTTTTATGTATATATTTTTTTATATTAGAATAGCTGCATCACATTGTCTTGCAAAAATGATTGACATTATATAGAACAGATTGGCATACAGACTTTTGAAATAGAAAGTAAATAAAACAGGCAGTGTACCTTTTCAGTTGTTTTTGAGAGGTAATGTCTTCACTGCTAATATTTTATAATCATCACTGTTATTTCTGTTGAGTTTTATTTATAAAGTGGACTGCTATCTGAATTAGCACTCGAAGATATTTTGCAAAGGAATAGTAAATCATTATTTCAGTATTTCCCGTATCAGAAAAGCCTATATAAAATGAACTAAATAAACTCTTGCAGAGAAATTGCGGAGACAGATATTTCAGA